GCGCAACTATTAAACGTGTTGTGATGCTGATGATGCGCACGATAAACATTAATCGCCAAGGCCATAAAAGGTCGAAAAAGGTATTGTGGCGAATCGTGAACGATAAAGTAATAAAGACGTGCGCGCGCGCGCTTAAATTCCTCTCGTGTGTTTTTCGGCTGGGTCATAAGAGGAAGCATCATAACTGTTTTCCGGAGGGCGCGAGAGTGCGCGCGACGTGCGAAACGAAAGCGGCGGCGTCGTTGAGGGGGCGGGCGCGCGTTCGCAAAACGGCGTTAACTGAACGGTAAAAAGCGTTAGAGAAGGCGACGCGCTGAAACCCCCTGCGAGCGTCGGCACGTTACTCGACTCCGCTATATAAGTGTGAGAAGCGCGTCAGGCGGAAGGCGGCGAGCCGGAAAATTCGTTTGTGGAAGGAAAATGGAGCTCGGGTTTTTGCGCGCCAAGACAAATGATGTGAGGGTGATGTGTATCCATACTAATGCAATGTTTCTAACGTCTTACGTTTTACCCAATTGACGTGTGCCCACAGAACACACACACTGATGCGTTTAAAACGTATTTTCGGGTTTAGGTGATGGCAAAAACAAACACTTTCGTTTCTTTCTTCGCGCCTTGACAGAAAACTATACTTCTAACGTCCAACAACAAGGAAAACATCATAGAGAAGAAAATTCGATTAACGTACTGGGTAATGGGGTGTAATGTATTTTTATATTATAGCTCGAATTAAACGCCTGTCTAATGATTCAATTTATGCTATAAGCTCGGGCCTATTGTGCGTGCGGCAATTCCGAACATCGCCGCATATGTTTATTCTCATAACAAATATTCATATAGCTGCCGCACGATGTGGCGGAACCCTCGTGTGCCCCTCGATCGCCCTGAAATAACCGCGGCGTAACAATTGTCCACCCTTAATCGAGCAATGATCGCCGAGAATTTCCTCGCGTGAATTATTTCCGAACACGAAAGTTTTACGCTTGCACGATTAACATCACCAAGATTATTCAATGCTAGTTATTTATAAAATAACTTATAACGCTCTAAATCATATTATCGTTTGCGTTTTTAATAATAATTTCACTGCATTATTAGATATAATTTAAATAAAATTATTTTTATTTATTTTTGGATTTTTTTAGAAAACGAGCGAAGCTCTCAAAAAATAATTATTTGCACCAATTGTCAGTTGTAATAAATATATTGCTTGTGTTTATAAAATTGTTAATATTAAAATTAATCGCTAAATCTGTTGGTAAGCGCATAACTCTACAACGCCTAAACCAATTTGGCCAAAAAAATTTTTTAATGTTCGGTAATGTTCAAGGATGGTTTTTACGGTAAGAAAAATTCGAATAATTGCCGGGAAAACCCTAAAAACAGCCTTTTATAGGATAAAAGTTGGCATTGAGATTCAATCGTAGTTATAGTTAAATAACTACGAGATGACGCGCTGAAGTGCATTAATAAAAATTCTTTATATAATTAAGGTTTTTAAAATTATATTGCGAATCTTATTAATTGAATTGATACATACTATTTCTAGAACAAGAGAATAAAAAGAAATTACATTTTTATTAAACCCTTCGGGACGAAGTCGCGGGCAAAAGCTAGTGTTTTATAATTGTAGTTGTTTAATATTAAACTTAATAACTAATTTGCGTATCAGATACCAAACACGTGTAATCTAAAGTGAGCAAGTGATTGAATCGAATGAAAGTCCATTTGATGAGAAGCAGAGCCTTGATTGAAGCGTCCTTCATTAAAACTTTCATTAATAATCGCCAAATTGAGTGTTAAATTCATTACACAAAGTGAATAAATTGAAGATAAATTAACCATTGATGATTTAAACGCGCTGGGCCCGTAGTTTTAACGAGGTTAAAATTTGCATTTGAGGACGGAAAGCACTTTAGTGGCATAAACACAATTAGGACGAGAGGGGGCCGGGCGGCGAAGGACGAGGGCGGCGACGAGATGAACACCGCGTGCGCGCTCGCGAGATCGGAAGGGATGCGCGACCATATGCCAAAGTTTCCGCAGCAAACAAAACACAAACAGCAACTGTGCGGACGGCAGCGGACATACACGCTCATCTCGACGCAAACACACACTCACAACACTTGATTAGGAGGCCGCAGCAGCCAGAGAAGGGTTGCCCGGAAGTGTCAAGTGCACGCGCACTTCCGTCCGCCGTCTACGCGCGCGGTCATCTATCAATCAGCCCGGCCGGCGAGCAGCTCAGGGGTTAATCTGCGCAACCAAGAGGTGATTTCACACGAACCGCACAAAAGAATTAATTTACGTTGGTGTGGCGATAACGATTGGTGTTGGGTTGCGTTAAGTCGTCAATGATTAAAAGTTGATTAAGCACGCGCGGGGTGGTTGGTTTGATTGCGTGAGCCAGCCAGTTCGTTATTAGACACGACATTCGAAATTATTTTATCAGCGCGCTGAGACGCACGAGGACCCTTATTTCCTGCCATTTATTAGCAATAACGCGCAAGTCGGTGCCGGCCGGTTTCGTGCGCTCGTTAATTATGCCAACTACCGCCCTTCGTGCGCTCACACGGCGCTTGCAGCTCAGGAAAAAATTCTCCAATGTTGGCACAGAGGTCCCCCGAAATCACCGGCGCACCGGTACAGCCCCAGTGTGTGTATGCGTATATATAATGTAAGATAAATTAATTTTATTGCTGACTAAACAGCCTAAGATTGTTGTCGAGTCCGCACGCGATGTGACATGTATTTATATGCCAGCAACACGAACACCTCATTACGCGTCGGCGTATACGCACCTCACCAATATGCATAGAAACATATCCTACCACACTACACACCACCCCACCCCTCTGGTGCGCGCAAACACACTGGGGGTGCTGGGTTACGAAAAAGGCCGGTGCGCGCACACAACCGCTCGAAATCTGAAAGTTTAAATTAAATTTCCGTTTTTGAATTGCACGCAACAACCCCGGCCAATTGCCGTTTCATACGAGCTCGGTTTTACGAGATTCGCTCGAGGCTACACGCGGCGCAAATAGCTTTTCTTATGCGGAGCGAATGAAATAAAAAAGACACAAACTTATTCAATTTGGGCGAATTTTCCGCACGAGTTAGCGTATATTGAAACGATGTGACGCACTTGATAAACACATTCTATATCAAAACCTCTTTTAAATTTCTGTTTCATAAAACAATCACTATATGCAACCAAATGTGCATTACATTACCATGACAACATATATAAGTATTTCAAATAAACTAATCAACGTGCGCACGAACGTGCGTTTAAATAAAGTAAATATTAATATGAATTAAGTTTACTACGTTTCACAGATTTTATATAACTTTTATATATAAAAAAGCGACTTCGTCCTGGTTGTGTTTAATAAAAATGTAATTCGTTTCTACTCTTTTGTTCTAGATATATTAGGTGTCAATTCTATCAATAAGATTCGCAATTTTATTTTAAAGAAATTAATTATATAAAGAAAAGCTAATAACGCATTTCAGCGGGTCATCTCGGATTCAATTATTTAACTATAACTATGATTGAATTTCAATGCCAATTTTTATCCTATAGAAAAAGGCTGTCTTTAGGGTTTTCCCGGCAATTATTCGAATTTTTCTCGCCGTAAAAGCCATCCTTGGACTTTAACGAACATTTAAAAAAAGAATTGGCCAAATTGATCTAGGCGTTGTTGAGTTATGCGCTTTCCAACAGATTTTGCGATTCATTTTTATATTATAGATAACATTAAACCGTACCAAAGATCTGCTGATAATTAAATCTGCTTATTAAAGGTAGTAAAAAATACGCAAAAAGTTTTTCATAAAATTTTTCTCCTTTAGCACAAAATAACTAATCGTTATTCGTTTGTACCTAATGTAGGTATTAATACAATGCGCTTGGTGATTCATAATTAGCCAATCTTAATTCAAGTGGTTTTCCCTGTACGAATCAAAACCAATGGCGTGTCTGTAAGTGTAACACAATATATAAAAAAATCTCCATGGCGCCAATTTATCAGAGCACTCTGAACGGCCTTCTAACAAGACGTCGTCTCTAACGAGACAATCGGCTTACATTCCTGATCCTGTGTCAGATTGACGCTTTCCAGCACGACTTAGTTGTGCGCAGCCTAATGCGATTGTTCCTATCCAATTACGGACAGAAAACGCGCGGCCAATTTGCGCTCGCTGTGTTTGCGCTCGCGACAATTAAAAGCACGTTATAAACATTTCGGTAGCGTACACACCGGTAATAATACGACGGCAAGCGATGTGAAATTGATAGTTAAATTAAGTGTAATTTTAAGGAGAGATTCCCAGCTGATTAAAAACAATACGAGTCGCCGGGGCACGCGATAGCGCAATGAAAATTACTCGCCCATAAAAGCCTGTACCAATATCAAAACGTCAAGTACCATTAAAATTTTATAATAACATAATACCCCGCGATGATAAAGACCAATTTCCAAAAGAAAAGAAAAAAACAATAAAATACCCATATTAATATTGAAATATTTATTGCTAATGCGATTGCGATCGTAATTTCATTAAAGCCCTATATTTTTTATTATATTCCCGCATAAAAATGTGCGATTATAAATCAAGTCGGAATTATTTTTCCGAACCACCCTTCGTGGGGTTGCCCTTATAAAATATAATAAATTAGGTAAAAGTACCAGTGTGCCGGTTTCGTGACTGTTTTGATGGTAGCGTGCAATGTAGACACATCTTCACTGTGAAACACTAAACTAATAAAAATGGAAAAATCGACAGCAAACATTTTTTTGCTCAGTTTTACGTATATGTCAGTTGGCTGAACACAATAAAAATTTATGTTTGTGGTTTGAATCGAAATAAAAACGTTATATTTGTAATATTTCATTGCTATCAATTTTCTTTTCGTCTCAAATTAATATTGATATTGGTAATATATAATTCATACGCTCCATTTTTATTCAAAAGCATATTACAAATAAAATTATTACCTGAACTCGAACTTCCGGTAGATTCACCTTCATAGCCAATTCCTCACGACTATAGACATCCGGATAATGGCTCTTCTCGAACGCCCGCTCCAGCTCGTGCAACTGATAGGTGGTGAACGTGGTGCGATTGCGTCGATGCTTCTTCTTGCAGTTGTCGCCCTCCGACATCCCCGACGCGGCGCCTTCGTCGTCCGATCCACTCGTCGCGCCTTTGCCGTAGCGCAGTTCCGAAACGCCGTCGTTGGAGTTACAACTGCCCTCGCCTGCGCACAGAGAACAAAAACCAGCATATTAATGTGTTTGCATTCGAATTAATTAGCAAACGTGTAGAGTAGGTTGTTAAACGAATCGAATCTCTTCTAAATCCTTGGCATGATTGCAATGCGTGCGCAAAACGCAAAGTATATTTTTAAATGTCGCATTTGCATAGATTTAGGTTACGATTAAATTACGAGCGCACGGTATACACTCGAAGGGATTGCGCCGACGTTGCTTTCACCCAACACACACACACATACATAATCACACACGTAAGTATAAAATATCCCGATGCGAACTCCGGCGTCGCCGTCGCCGTTTCGCTGCGATTTCTTATTTAAACTCGTTGGCACGGAGGGTGTTTACTTCTTAATCGTGCGTCACGCCAGAAACGGCATTCGATTTTCTGCCTGCTGCATGCACAGCCATAGCGGAATTCATACACCGAAAAAATATCAACATATTTAGCGCTTTCAAAAAAAAAACATCACCCCTTAAAAAATATTGATGGTAATGATTGTTTCGCCATCATTTAGATTTAATAGCGGCAGTTGCGTGTTGTGCTAGAATCGTATGTAAAACATGACTTCCGTCAACGAGTTGGGAACTGTGGATATAATAGAAAGTGAATCCCGGAGACAGGGTTGGTCACGACAATGGGCATTTCGTTCATTCACATCGATCACTGTAATTACCTCGCACCTGCCCGTGTCGGTAATCAAAGTGACAAAAGCGATTAATTCTAATATTATTTCAAATATCTAACTTTAACATTTAAATACCAACGATATAAAAATATTTACAGCATAATATTTAATGCTGTAAATTTGAAAATAATTATTTGAATGTAACTAGTTTCTGGTAGCTATGAATAAAGTTTCTGTTCAATACAAACAAGGGTGAATATATCCTGTTGTCATATATCATACACGTAATGATGCACTGTCTGTTTTATCTGATTGACTATCAGCGGAACCCTCCAACACAAAAAAGGAGTAAATTCCCTCAATTATTAATCGACATTTGAGAATATTAATTACCGCCTGTGACTACCATTTCTCTAAATATCTATAATTTAAAATGAATTGAAAATCTGTTGGTAAGCGCATAACTCAACAACGCCTAGACCTATTTGGTTAATTCTTTTTTTAAATGTTTGTTAAAGTCCAAAGATGGTTTTTACGGCAAGAAAATTTTGAATAATTGCCGATAAAACCCATTGGGATTGAGATTCAATCATAGTTATAGTTAAATTGTTGAATTCGAGATGGCGCGCTGAAGTGCATTATTAGCAATTCTTTATATAATTAATTTCTTTAAAATAAAATTGCGAATCTTATTGATAGAATTGACACATACTATATCTAGAACAAAAGAGTAAAAACGAATTACATTTTTATTAAACTATATGTATTTTATATTCGTAAATAAATCATTAATAGTTAAAGAGATATTATTATTTATGTTGAAGCATTAATAAAAAGTAATCGTTCTTGACAATTTAACAACTTAATTAACACCTATTATATTGTGTACAACACTAAACGCAGTTAGTAATTGACTTATAACTGGCTTAAAAGTGTTCAATTTAAATTGTATCTTGAAGCCCACGCTTGGAGGAATTAATTAGCCATCAGTCAAAGAGTGATTGATTCGTCGGATGTCAATAAATCTAATGAGTTTAGTCCGTTGGGCTTTTTCTCTTTGGACACGTTTGTAATTACATCGTATATGCCACTTTGACCCCGAAGATCACACGCATGCTGAGAGCTTTTTATTGTTGCAGGAAACAAGAATGACTGGCTATTGTTCGATGCACGGTCAAGGCATCGCGGAGGAGACTAATTATCAGCATACCTGCTCCGGCCAGGTGCGAGCGATCTTATCAGGTTCGTGTTTTAATCATTATGCGCAGCGTAACACGAGCGCCGCGATCCGCGGAAGCGTCCGTGACGCAGGTAGAAATCAAACTTTTGTGTTCAACACATTGCCGAATGATAAGCACGCGAGCTTTCCCATCTTCACACAATACTTTACATCTGACGCATGATGGCATTATGTCATGTTTGAATAAAAGTAGGTGACAGTAAGCCACATCATGTCACGGAATCATGCTTATTTTCCTGTTAGCTATTTTAAATTTTGTTACAACTTGCGCAATTGGGTTTTATGAAAAAAAATTGTGTCATGCAATTGCTACACTTGCACAATTAAATAAACTTAAATATTTTTTTCTGAAAAATAAAAAAAATGCCTGGTTTGCACCAAAACTTTTTATTCACTAAATAAAATAAATTTTGAAGCATTAGGTACCTTACCATATGAAATTATACGGGTAAGCATTTTTTATACGAGCAAACAAAGCATTATTTAATTAATTTAATAAGAAACGCAACTTCTAAAACTTAATTAATTACCACCTAACGATAATGTCTCAAATGTCATAGATTTGTTCTAAAATTCACTTGATATTAAGTAAAATAAATTGTGAGCATAGCAATTAACACAATTATACCTCCTAAAGGTAGAAAGAAAAAAATGAATACCTATAGCTATAGGTATGGTGAGCTAGTGTAGGTACACGCATGCAAAAACGCAATTAACAATTGCCTGCGAGTAATAGCGGGCGCGCAAACAGCGCAGCAGTTATCGCAAATCAGTTGTGTGTTTATTATTAATACCGGTAATTAGAAGGCACGGAAAATGGCTACACAGTATTCGCTCGCTTGTATAAATACAACCATCATTGGGTTAATTTGATAATCAATTGTTTCACTGCGTATAATTTATATAAACAATATACAAAGTAAATAATAATTAGTTTCAGCTCTAGTGTGTTACGCAACACGTAAAGAAACAAAGTATTTTATTTAAAATTTGAATACCTACATAAAGTGGTAATGCTAAAAATGTCATTGTTGAAAATACTATATCCAAGAACAAAATTGGGTGGTTAGGGTTGTGCAATATAGTCTATATATATAAAAATGAATTGCTGTTCGTTAGTCTCGCTAAAACTCGAGAACGGCTGAACGGATTTATCGTATTTTGGTCTTGAATTATTCGTGGAGGTCTAGGGAAGGTTTAAAAGGTGAGAAAAATTCGAATAATTGCCGGGAAAATCCTCAAAATAGCCCTTTTCTATAGAATAAAATTTGACATTGAGATTCAATCATAGTTTTAGTTAAATAGTTGAATTCGAGATGGCGCGCTGAAGTGCATTATTGACAAAACTTTATATAATTAATTTCTTTAAATTAAAATTGCTAATCTTATTGATAGAATTGACTCTTACTACGAGTATGTCTAGAACAAGAGAGTAAAAACGAATTACATTATTATTAAACACTGCCGGAACGAAGTCGCGGGCAACCGCTAGTCTATAATATAAAAATGAATCGCAAAATCTGTTGGTAAGCGCATAACTTAACAACGCTTAGACCAATTTGGCCAATTCTTGTTTTTTAAATGTGCGTAAAAGTCCAAGGATGGTTTTTACTGCGGGAAAGATTCGAATAATTGCCGGGAAAACCCTAAAGACAGCTTTTTTCTATAGGATAAAAGGTGGCATTGAGATTCAATCATAATTATAGTTAAATAGTTGAATCCGAGATGGCTGAAGTGCATTATTAGCAATTCTTTATATAATTAATTTCTTTAAAATAAAATAGCGAATCTTATTGATAGAATTGACACATTCTATATTTAGAACAAGAGAGTAAAAACAAATTAGGTACATTTTTATTAAACACTTCCGAGACGAAGTCGCGGGCAAAAGCTAGTAACTACTAATTAAATGATAATGCACAGTTGTCAAAATTCCACCAATATCACCGCCAAGCGACGCACCCGCAATTCACGTAAATTTTACCCAATGAATTCAATTAACAAATAATTTAAACAATTGACACTGCTAATTGAATAGTTATTTGGTCGAAGCAAGATGCACTCGGTTGGAATGCGCATATATATAATAATCATCTGATTTGCACCAGCAATGAAAGCTCGCGTCGCGTGCTTAATGCCCCTTTCTGAGCGTGTGAGCACAGGTAGCGCGCCGAACGAGTGTATGTGTCACCGGTTTGATACGGCCGCTTTAATGGAACACCACTTACGATTACTTAACGTGATGTTTTTATTTCTCGACGGCTCGCGGCTAGAAAGAGCCGCTAATGCATTCGACGTCGCTTGTCGGCTCTGCTGCCAACTTGGTTTCTTCAGCGGCGCTGCCACACGACTGCCGTTTACCAGCTCAAGGAGGAGGCTCTTCAGCAACCGGGAGTGCTTTATTTATGGCGCGCGCAACGCAAAGCGCTAATCGAGTTAGTCGTTAACAAATTGTGTAATTAGGCTTTATCAATTCATCAATACAGACACACACACACATATCCATGCAATGATATATGTTGGTAAATTTATATCTACATCTACATACATAAAAACAAGTTTGTCTATATGATTGAACAAGCACATAGGGAGGTATAATATAAATAAAAGAAACAAGCGTTTCTTTTAAAAAGTTAATTGAATACCTACACGTCCAGCAAAAGGACTAAGTGGTGGTTGTCGTTTATCTAATGCAATTCCGAAGTGCATTTAGTGCGCGCTTAAAAGCTCTTATCTAGATCGTATAGGAGATTTAATAGAGAGCACGGCGGTAGCAGCATTCTATAGTGAGTAGGATTTTTCAAAACGCTACAGCAGATGACGAGAGAAGAAAGATGAACCAGATACGGGGCGGGCATGATAATGCCTTGTCAAAACTATTCACCCGCCGCTAATGCCCAATTTACGATTTTGATCTGGAAAACATCCACTAGAGAAATGTAAATTTTTCAAAAATCAATCCCTCTTCAAATTCTGCTAAAAACACGTAATAATAGCGTCTGCATGATTGAGCATTATTTCGTTCACTTTGAAATTATATAACATTTGTTTGGCTTCTCTCACTTGGAAAGCAATTAGCGTTCCGAAGCTATGGCATCTTGTTGACTTATTCTAAATTAATGCGATCGCGAAGCGCGATAAGATGTGCCGATAACGTCCGTTTCAATTCACATAAATAAGTCATAATGCAATGCGCCGACGGCGGGCGACGCACGGAAAACAAAAGCACACAAATGCAAGACAATAAAAACATTTAAACTTGAGCATTAATTAAATTAATGGCACTCAAGCGCACGCTTCTTTATTTTTTTATTCCTCAAAGTAAAAAAGCATTTTATACGCTTGTAAATAATACTATACTTTATACATAGGTACCCAAAGTCCCAATAATAATATGATATGCTTCTTATATAAGTAGATAATAATTGATTGACATGTAACGAAGTGATAATTAACTGGCATAACTAAATATAATCAATTAAATTATTTATTCTTGAGTCCATTTGTTTTCTTTCTTCTTATTAATTAATTAACATAACACATGGCGTTCCAGCAGGTTAATTATAACGTGTCGTGGGTTGTGGGGGATTATTAATTTGAATAAATTTATAAACATGCTCGTGTGCACTTAAAATTACGAACCTGAAGACCAGAACGCATTCAACACACACGACTTAAACACAAGCCACGATCTTCAAAAGTAGGTATTACTTATATATGCGCTTGATAATTAATCTCTCTCTCTGTCTTCTATTTTGCGTTGTTAATTAACAAGGCGTTTGTGCTTACCATAGCCCCACTCATGACTCTCCCAACAATTTTAAACTCCGCCTTGATGGTTTTAATTTATGTGCACTGACTTAAGTCGACTCGCCTACCATTGAACAACACAAGACGATTTTTAAAAAAATTTGTTGAATCATGTTGGCAGGCGCATAAAAAAACGCTTTGGATAGTTAATGTCTTCATTGTGTGTTGATGCTGCTTAACTAATTGCTCCGCCGCGTAACCCGTAGGTAACAAAAACGGGAGTCGAAGTTGAAGAATACAAATGTGAATCAATTAATGGAATCAATTAATATGGAAAAGTGCAATGTAATATTTTTGTATGGTAGAAAACTTAATCGAATTAATTTTTGAGTCAATCATTTGCATACCTAGATGTTTTAGTGCCTTGAGATGTCGAAGTTGTGTGTTGCAGAGGAAAAAATAAAAGGTTTAATCGAATAATTCGCCAAACGCCAAGAAGAAACTCTTAATGCGAGTGACACGAGATTTTATCGGTTCGCCGAGCGTCGGCAACGGCGGCACGATTTCATTTCCCTGTATTGACAGCACACTAATTTGACGTCCGCTCTCTTCTGACAAGGGAATTACGTTTGACAGGATTACGAGATTGACAAATAGGATCAAGAATTGAGGCTTAATTGAGTGTTTGAGTATGATGTTGTGTATATAGTTCAAATTGATTTGGATGCCAAAACTACACTGTTTCTGTTCTTCACAAACAATCAATAATCCAACTTAATTGTGTAATAAAAATTGTATTTTTATAAATATAGCTATGAATTTAGCTTTAACTGGAAATTCACTTACCGGCGCTCTCTCCGTTTCCGGGTGTGATGGCACGCTCCCTGTCGTCTCGGTCCTCCTTCCGCACAAGTCCTAATATGTTATCGATGGTGTGCCGCGGTCCCGAATTGGGACTGGCGACCATCCGCAAGGGTTTCACCTCCAGAGCACCGTAGCCGCCAAGCATACTGGACGTATCGTCGCTACGTTCCGACTCCATGGCGCGGTTACGACAGACTGATTTTCAAAGCCAGCACACGTTGCCGACCCGGGGCGGTGTGTGAAGGTGGAGCGCGCGCGGATCGAGCCAATTGCGACCGGTCTACTTCCATCATGGAGGCCGCATCTGCTACGGCGTCGACTGGCGGAGGGTTGACAAGGGTTACTATGGCGGGGATTGCGACTAAGGGTAGTATACTCCAACTTTGCACGCGGACGCCAGTAGTGGGGAGAACAAGCTGAGAGATGCGAGGTTTCTCTCGCACCCTTGGCAAACACGTGCGCGTCGGGTAATTGGGGATACAACGTTTAGTTGTCTCGTTTATTCTATTTGCACTCACTTATTAACACTTTTCAATATCGCCTTGTCTTCTCGCGCTACTGCACGCCTGCCGCAGCAATGCCCCGAGGAGATAATTGTTGCTGTCGCGGCGTGACGAGATATACGACTAATCCGAAAAAGCTCATCAACTTCACCGCCGCGCGCTCGAAATCAAAGTTAATTTTATTTTACTCGCGTCTATATCATAATAGGTATGTGTTGTCATACCTTCGGAAAAGTGATTAGAAATTCAAGTTCGTAAAGTTTGACGCATTAATTTTCAATCAAAACCAATCAATGAGAGCAGTTGGGTAAATAATGGAGTCTAACTGCGGTCGCATTCGTGATTAGTTCTGGTCCCCCGATAAAACTGGGCGGGGGAGCCACCTGACGCTAATTACCATAGTCATGCGGCCGCCCCGCCCGGAAATTAAATCGGTTTACAACGTTCCAATATTTGTGTTTGGCGAATTTAAACAATTTAGTTTCATTATTGGTCAATACCATCAAAATTTACGTATTGAGATGCTTGCGCCCACAACTTACAAATTTTACAAACACAGAAAACATTATAATTATAAAAAAATAATTTAATTTTCACCTTGTAATCATCTAAGAGAACGTTGCATAAAAGACAATTACTTTCTCAATTAGTTTTTCAATGAGAAAAAGTGCTGAAAATTAGAAAATGCGTCACGAAATGACTTTATATAATAATCACATCATTTTGTAAAACGCTGAAAGAAAAAAAAAGTCATTTAACGACGACGCCATCGCCGCTGACGCACCACACTGAAAACGATAGAGTGCTAAATGAAATTATTATCATTATTAACGATGCTAACAATATTCGTGTACGGTACAAATGACTTTTAAATTGAATTGCGCGACGCTCGGCGCGCGGGACGCTGCAAAAATGGAGTACGTAATAAGATTAGCCGCGCGAAGATATACACATTGGGTTGCCTATGTATAGCCAGCATGGCGCGCACTCGCCAAATGCCAGATGCGAGGGCAGCACAGCGTATACCATATAAAAATCGTTTTATTATATTTTCCAAGATACAATGGCCCGTTTAGCATCAAATTGGAACATTGTTACGTGCATTTACTGCGCAGGAATACATCAGACAGAGCGAATCAAGCGACACACACAGAGAGTAGGAAGACGCAAAAAGAAGAATAACGTGCAGCAGGGGTTGATGTTCAACACACGTTATCATTGTTTCATGTTGCGTTCGCTTTGTGCGGCGTCGCTCACCCCTCTAATTTGATTTTATGATGTTGATATAGACTCACAACAAGTCTTTTAATGGGAAACTAATTGTACACCAAATGTCATCTACAAATGACACTAGCGACATGCACACAAAGCGGAAAATGTTGTTACTATATGCAACCGTCACAATAATCTAACATAATAAGCTAATTTTACCTGAATTTCAGCAAGATATCCACCAGATACCAATTGTGTGTTTACTGTTTGGTTGGAGCAGATTGCAGTTCCTGTTGCAATGGTGTGGGTGGACGACACGGGCCAAGTCGCAGCGGGGCACATCCTCGAACCCCAAACAAACCGCAATCGAACAATCGCCATCCCCTTGCGCTCACCCGCTGACGGGAAAAGCTCTCGCCGGCCAGCTCACAAGATCCGCAAAGATACTGTAAACATTGAAGGCGGAGTGCGTATAAACACGAAAAGTAGCAAAGACGCGTCTGAATGAATGCAGGAAAGTAGAGATGGTTGAAATGCAATATTCCGACCGGCAATCATTCACAAAGGTTTCGAATGAAGTTAGCTGTGTTTACAAGTTTACGGTGGCGAACAAGCTCAGACTCAAACTTATGCTCTTTTCAAGTTTTGTCCACTATTCACAATGAATAACAACACAGGAAAGATATTGACTATATTAGCCGCATTACCCACAATGTGGACAATGTCGTGTTTTGTCCAAGTTGTTATAAAATAACAAAAACTTTGTTCTCATTATATACGCCCCATTACAAACTTGAAGTAGCTAAGCATTTATATACAGATTTGTGAAATGTTAACGTATTTTTTTCTTTTGAAGTGTCATATGTGTTAACATGCACATAACACCTTTTTAGATACAATGTGGGCGTTAAAGTTGTCAATAATATTTGCAATACAATTACACCTCGGAACAAAAAAATTGCTGCATATGTTTAGGTATAGTTAGGTTAAGTTATGTTAGGTTAGGTTAAACCTACGTAAAAAATACTATACAAATTATTAGCAACTTAATTCCGATACAGTTTTATCAACCCTTTTCATCAAGCAACAACCCTGTTTGGGATTTGATAAGTTTTACCGGTCCAGGCAGAAAAAATAACCCTCTCAACAGAAAGGTGTGTTGGAGATACAACCCTCGTTATACATTTAAAAATTTATAAAACATGACAAGCGGCACGTTTTTAATACTACATCTTTGAGTGCTTTTCAAGTTTGTTGCGCGTTCAGCGCTAACTAATCCGAATGTGATTATGCATGTTTTGGATTTAAAAGAAAGTAAAAGCCTATAATTTAGGGATTTACATTGCTACATCATATCGCATAATCAAATATTAGAATTTATACGCTTGTTTAACCCTTAAAAAGTAACGTTTGTTTCGCCAAATATCCCGCAGAGTAATTTTCAATAGGGTGACATCTGTCGCGCCGAGATTGATAAGAACACCTCAATTTAATCGTACCTTTTTATCGCTGCTGCTTTGTTAGTGTGCCCTGCATGCGGTCTGATTGCAGAGTTTTTATTAAATCATAATCATAGAGCACATGCGCAACAGAGCATCATTGAAAATTACTTTAATATCATATTATGCATATGGCACGATTTTTAACTCTGTTACATACCGCAAATGAAGCAAACATTTTAAGCATTTTATGATTGTGCGTTCGGGCTTATTGTGTTTGAGCACACTTTCCGTTTCATACGAAGAATAAGAAGTTCCAACTAAAGGAGACTTAATAAAACAAGATCAAGGATATATTATGCCGAAGATTGAACGGATGATAAAATTTTCAGATAAGATGTGCCAATATAATAGGTATTAGTGTGCATAGAAATTATGAATACCAAAGATAAAGATCTTCGATTTTCGGTTATAAAAGTCCTATACAGTACAAAAAGTATACCTACCCATGCCTTGTTCTTAATCCACAAATCGATAAATTAAAACATAAATGGAAAATGATTGCGCTGTCGATGATTAAATTATGGTCAGAACAATGATTGTGTCGAGAGCGAAACTCGTTGAAAGTGTACATGGCGCCCGCTTGTATATCACAAATGCCAAACGTCAACCAAACGCAAATAATCAACGAATTGCAGCGTGCAGAGTACATAAATTCGACCATTCAAAACCGCAATTTCGAATGATGAAAAAAAAACACAACACACATTCATTTGTCTGGCGAGTGAGTGGAAGAGTGTGCGGCGGAAAAACGTTCGTGGATGATGTTTATAAAAAGCAATTAAGTTTTATTTGTTTTGTGTCGTTAGCGATAAATGGACGGTTATTGATTTACACATTTATAAAATACTAAATGCCTTTTAATAACATTTTTAATATTGGGAATTTAATTTCGTGCGTTATCATTGTTTTTATTTGTTTAATATTTATTACACACAGTGTACCTACGACAAAAACTAACCTATAAAAATTACTTCTTTGATTTCTATTTTAATATAATTAAATAATGCAGTAATCTGACGTCATTCTTTTTAAACTAATTACGGGACAATACATACCTACACGTTAAGATTAATTTAATATATTTTCATCTTCTGACAGATTGTATCTGAATGCATTCGTTCAATTTTAATTCACAATAAAACGCAATCATTAATTATATTTTCATTGGAGATTGTAAAAGCGCGAGGACGAAATTATTTTCCACATGGCAGGTTGGATATGAAAGCGGTTTAATCAACAAACAGCATTTACAGAGGCCCACATTCAAAAACCACCGAAATATGAAGGAAATTCACATGTGCCACAACAACAAACAAAATATAAATTGTTACCAATTATCTTCAGCTTTTTTCCTGTTTTATATATCTGTATGACAGCGATTCAATTTCCGCGTTTTGCAATGCACGTTTTCAATTACTCGCATGTGTCATGGCGTTTGTTCTTTGTGGACACGCATTTTCATCACCATCACCGCATTTTTTGTATTCGCGTGAGTATCGGAATGAAAATAAAAATTTTCATAAATCGCTTCGACGAGTTCATTTCCTTTGCGAACACATGTTTGACTTTCGCTAGGGAGGACGAAGGGCATGCTCGCGTTGTTTGATTTCGGCGGCACACGGAGCGGTGATCTCGAAATGGGAAAAACGGCAGGCAATTGTTTCACATTCGAACCTAATATCATTGTAATAGAATTTCGTAGAATAACAAACGCACATGTATTTTCAACGACAATGAAACGAATTCGATAAGAAAATGTAATTCTCCTCGTTGTGGCTTACGCTTTGTCTTAACGAGAATAACAAAGTTACAAACGAAGAAAACGAACAAAAATAAAATTCAGAAAGTAAGATCATTAATTGGTTTGTTGGTGTGTTGGATGGGTAATCGCTTGTGGTTTTTACATTTACCCAAGGTGACAATAGACCCTCGGATGCATGAGATAGGGAGGAGGAAGTATAAGC